GTGACTTGCCATGACATTGGCTTGAAGGCTACTGTAGGAGTTCAACATCTTGTCAAGAAATCAATTCGAGTTGTGTGTAGAATCGGAGATGATGATGGATATATCCCACACAAGGATGTCCCTCCCTCGGCTCTCAAATAATGCAGCCATTTGCTCCTCCCGCTGCAAGATTTGACCCTAAAAGTAGGCAACACCAACTTTGGTATTACATATGCTCTTCAAATTTGATACCGTCAAACACATAATGTAAATTCAGGAACGTAAATTTACCTCTAAAACATGAATTCAGGCTTATGTTTCTTTTTTTTTTCTTTTGAAGGGTGGATTTTATTCAACCAAAAGCTTCAGTGCCATTTCAAGTCTAGCACCTAACTGGTGTAAGACTTTCCATGGCATAGACAGCAAGCTTAAGAACGGGCTTTGCCCTTGTACAAAACAAAAGGAACTGCAGTAAGCCCTTGGGGTTGAAAGCAGGAAGAGAACGCTCCCTGTCAACAGAAAAGGGATGGGCGACTAGAAGACAAAAGATGAACTAAAGTCCAAGTATTTACAAATAGAGCCCAAAGTTGGTCAAAAGAACGAGATCCCCAGAAGCGCTGTGAGAGTTCGACCCCAAGCTGATCAGCCTTGATCAGCAACCCTTAGCCAGGCTCCCAAACACAGAAAGGAGCGAAGAGAAGTCACCCAGCACATCACAATCGCACAAAGAGAACAGCATCAGACGCCAGGACGCCACCCCAACCCAGCCAACCATTTCTCTTCAGGCAGACCAGAGCAAGCCATTCTCTGCCCCCCGACCGGAATCCGCATGCATGAGATCATGAAACACTCAAAGCAATCCTGCACCAGAAAAACCTTTCAACACAGAGCCAACCCTCAGAGAGAATCCCTGCCTCAGTGCCCAACAGAATCATCAAGAGTCCCAGCTTCCTTTCATCCGCTTTCCTTGCCCACCTCGTATCACAGGACCAAAAACATAGGAAACATTGTTCAAGGGAATCAATGTCAAAAACACCTGCCACCCGTCACCAGGAGAAATCAACGCCCCAGAAACGTAACATGGAGAGGCTATCCACAAACTTGGCCAGGCAAAAAGGTAACCACAAAAGACCAAAGCTGCACGGTACAAAAGGAAGCAAGAAAAGACTCCCTGCGAGGAATTCACTGGCTTATGTTGCAGGTATACAGGAGGACTCCGGGCGGGCAGTCTCCATTATGAGCGGGTTAGTGCTTGGCAGAATGACACACAGCTTGACATTCAGAGCAACGGTATGATTAATGCTACCGGAGAAGTCCCACACCTGGAGAAGTTCAACACATGCAGCTAAATTTTGCAGATTGATTGGTCTTGAAATTATTATATCCCTTTTGTTGTGTTACTTATAATGTTCCATTGGTCCTGTTTCTTCTTGTCTGATTGAAATGCAGAAGTATAATAACCTCGATGCATCGTTTGATGGATGCAGGAATTTCCTTCCCTGTTTGGATCTGCTAACTCAGATTGTTTCTCTACTTTCTCAACTTTAATGGATTACGTCGTTCAGGATGATAACTTAGTTTGCAATTATATATTTAATTTGTAAACAAGATTTTATGTTAGAACATAGGATTAAAAAACTAAAACTGAAAATTAGAGACTGGCGGCATAAATAAATGTAAATATGACAGTTTAATGCTAACTGATAGCAAGAAACTACGATAGTTTAAGGTAATCTGCTTCTTCTTTTTTTTAATGAACTGTAACTAATAAATTATGAGATTATTATACTTTATATCTTACAGTGAACAATTTTTCTTTTTTAAAAATCAAGTTAAAAGTTCGACATCAATTCATTATTAACTTAAATTTCAATTTTAGCCACGTATAAATTTGGTTTGTAACTTATAAATTATGAGATTATTATACTTTATATCTTACATGAACAAAAAACTTATCATCCCCCAAAAAGAATACTTTAATTAATTTCATAATAAATTATATCATACTTGACATGAAAGATGAAACAGTGAAAATAAAAAACTATGATAAAAGAACAATAATAGAAGTAAAAATTAGATTTGGTAATTTTGAACATAATACGAGAAGATATGGAGTTAAATAGGTTTGGATTTAACCTTATCGTGTTTTGTTTCTTAATTGTATTGACATGGTTAATACACTAACTATGTTAGATACGGTTAACACGTTTAATTAATCGTGTTATTGTGTTTAAATATATATAAATAACGTTTAATATTAATGATAGATTTTATTAGTATGATAATGAATTTTATGTATATTATTGAAATTAAATGTTAATATATTAGATGTTATTATTATTTTGTTATAATGGTTTTTATAATTATTGATTTTAAATTTGAA